TAGCAGGCAGGAAGTATTAAATAATATTGGAGAGGTAAGCTGGGGTCAAATGTTTTAGGTTGAGAAAATTTTATAAGCTAGCAAGAGACAGCACCAGGACTTTACCTCTATTTTGATTCTAAATCCTGTCATCACAGAATTGCAGACCACTTGTAAATCACAAGATTTTATCTTCCCCAACTAAGGACACCCTGAGAGCAAATGGTTAATAACTTTCTCCCTAATCAGATAACAGGAAAGGCAAGGGGGTGGGGAAGGAGAAGGGGGAATTTTATCTCACTTATTGAACAAAGAAGTCAGCAGTCTTGGGACTTGCCAAGATAAAAAAAAATTTCCAAATGTTCTCATAAATTCTGGGAAAAGGCACAACAAAGTAAAAGGGGACCTTGAAATCAAGTTTGTTGCCCAAGATATCCTGCAGAAGAACCTTGAAACTTGTAGACAGAAAAATATAAAATCCCTAAACCTTTATAGGTGTGGTGCTCAGACTAGCTGGGTGCCCACTTGTGCTATATGCCAAGTGTATTTTTAATAAATTTGCCTGCCTTGCTTCCTTACTAAATTCAATTGCTTTGCTATAATGCTGCCGTCTGTCACTCATCTGAAATCTTATGAGAGGAGGGGACAGCCCTCTCCCTCCAAATCAGGCAGCTGTCTGCTAACAGTATGAATCTCTAAAAGGTAAGAATTCTCTGACTGGTCCTTGCACTCACTCTCTCAGTACTAGTGCAGTTACAATCTCCAGAGAATGGACCAGGCACTGACGGACCAGCGCTGCTGGCACAGTTCCAACCATGACCCCTTCCCCTCCCTAGGTGCTCCACAAGGAAGAAAGGACATAAAAGCAGCTGCCAGGTGGCTCCTGAAAACCGGTGAAAATGTCAGCGGGACAGATCCAGATCCTGGGTCAGCAAGGGCATCCTACCGCCTGCCTGGAGGGCTGATTGCATCCTGTCCACCCACCACCCACCCCCTTCAGAACCCCACCCATGCATGAATTCATGCACTGGGCCTCTAGTTGTTTTATAATTTCTCTAGATATGTCCCTGAGGCCCTTTTAATCTATTGTTTCCTTTTTTTCATTTTTTTCTCCTGCTAATAAAATAGAAAAATAGAAGTTAGATACTATGTCTTATAAAGTTTCCCACAGTCTGGATTTTGCTTAATCCATCCCAGTGGTGTCATTTTACACATCCTTGTGTTCCCTGCAATTCCTCTAACCTAGTAGATACAGAGACTTCATCAGATTCAAGTTTTATTTTTTGGCAAGAATGCATCACAGGTGATGGAAGCAGACAATGGCTGCTTCTTTTTTGGTGTGAAAACCGCTTCTTTTTAAAAGATGGATTAAATCGAAGCCTTGGGGTGGTTAAGTGCTTAACATAGCAGTAGAATCAAGAGCAAAACCCCAATCTTATGGTAGTCAGTATGCTACACCTTTCATTATATAATAAATTTTTAACAACTTGCTGAGTGATTATAGTACACCAATTACTCTGGTAGGTTTGTGGGAGATAGGGTTCCAGCATTCATAAAACTACCCAAGCCACAAATCCAGAATCCTAGGGCCTAGGTTTCTTCACTTTCCTTACTGTTATTAAATCCTATTAAATTTTTTTTACTTAAAATCTCTCTCATTTGTTGAATGCTTTCCATCCCCACGGCTACTGCTTTAGTTCAGACTTTTATCATTGCTTTCTAAAATGATAAAGGTCTGATAGCTTCTAGAAGCTCCTCTCCTTCATAATGATATTGCCATTTTTTTCCCAGTTCTGCCTTGAACACAGAATATTGTTTTCAAGATGCAATATTAAATATATTATTATTCTGCTTTAACCCTTTGGTATTCCTAATTTCCATGATGGAGCCCATACCCCTTAGTGCAACCTATCCATCCTCTAGTCTTTGCCTATCCAATCACTGTCATCAGTCAGTACTTTCACTCACTCTATTCCAATCTATTGAATTAACAAAGCTTTCTGAACGTGCCAATGAGGTTATGTAGTGATTAAAAGTAGACTCTAGAATTAGACAGACTTAACTTTGATCCCTAGATTCTCCCACTTATTAGCTGTGAAACCCAGGGTATACTTACCATCACTGTGACTCACTTACCTCACCTATCAAATGGGAATGATAGTCCAAGTGGAAGAAATAGCATGAAAGCACTCAGCCCAGATGGTGCTTATGCTGTTCATACATTTCCATGTCTTTTAAACCCATTCCCAAGAATGCTTTCCTAGCATTTGATAACCTAGCAAATTTCTATTCTGAAGTCAGGACCCAGCTCCACTGCCCTTTTGTCATTTAGAATTAAACCTCCCTATTTCTGCAGCAAAATATCTTGTAGGTAGTTTGATTGCTGTGTCCTAGGACTATAAGTCTGTCTCACTGCACAACAGTAAAAATTTTAAAGATGGGGACCAGATCTTTCTTAGATTTAGCTCTCTATGTCCTGGTTCATTGAGTCTCCATTACCCTGGTTCAGGACAATAAGTGGAAGGCTCGATAATTTAAAGTTTGGTAAGCTGACCTAAATTGATGGGGTTGAAAGAAATCAAAAGGGCCTATCTACATTCTCTTTTTATGAGTCTATATTTTCCAGGCAACTTTTCTGAAATAAAAGATGATTTATTCAAAACATCTGTGGCAGGTTAGTAAGAAGCTAGAATATTCCTTGGCAGGAGGAATGAGGAAATTGAGACAGATATTTAAACAAATGGTTGAGCAATTAACAGGCAGCTAATAAATTACAAGATTTTATCTTCCCTAACAAAGGACATTTGGGAGAAAATGGTTTACATCTCTCCTCTCCAACCAGAGAGTGAGTAGCTTAAATCACCCTAGTAAGGGAGACAGATAACAGAGACCCAAATGGTGCCATTAGTGCCAGCCAAACCCCAGAATGGATGAAGTCAGGGGAAGAAATAACACAAAAACCAATTAGAACCAGACAAATCCAAGATAAAAATAAAGCTGACCAGAAAATTATCCCAACCCTCCCCCTCCCCCATATGCTCATTTTGATTCATCAGCCTATTAAAGGACACACGTGGAAAGCTGATGAATATTCTGTTGAAACTTTACCCTGATACCTCCCCTAAAATTCCTGCCTTTAGAAAACAGATAAAAAACCTTAAGACAAAGGATGCTCTCCCTTGAGCATGCATGTCCCCCTCCTTCTTTGCTTTCTTTCTCTTAAGCTCTAAGGGTTCCCAGGAGACTTGCAACCAGGGAGCATTGGGCAGCGGCACTTCATCCCGGGCTAACCCCCTGAACCTGTTACCAAGGGCCCTCCTTTTGCCTCTGTAACTTGTTTCCTGAGTCCATGCTGCACAGCATGGCTCACTTCTTTTTCTATGATTTTTATTCTGAAAGAGCCAAGGCAGGCCCTGGTCAGTGTGGCTTCGTTGGTTGGGGCATCATCCAATATATCAAAAGGTTTTGGGTTTTTTGATTCCTGTTTGGGGCACATTACTGGGTTGCTGGTTTGATCTCCCATCAGGGCATGTATGGAGAGCAGACAATCAGTGTTCTCTCTCACATCAATGTTTCTCTCTCTCTCTCTCTCCCCTCCCTTCCCCCCTTGGGTGAGGATTTA